TATAATATTTACATATAATTTAAACTAATTAAATTCTTTATTTAAAAAATTATTTCATTATATAGCTTGTAAGTTATTAAGTTATTTGTGTTTTCTATTGTTATATTTTATATATTATTTATTTGTTACTAACTGGATTCTTTTATTTAAATAAATACCCATTCCTTTAGTTGGTAAGTTGTGAATTATAGGTTATTATTATATATATTTATCCAATCTAAAATTTATATCATATCAAATTTCTATTTGAATTTTAGAGTAAGTGCTAATTAAAAATTTAATTTTTAGTGTAAAATTCTATGTAAACTATAATATAATTTTATTATTTAAATTTATAGATTCGGAAAAAGTGGAAATGCAAATTTAGATGATTTTATTCTTAAAAATGGACTTAAATGGATTCCTTATAATAAATTTGAAAATGTTAGATATGTTAATGAAGGAGGATTTGGTACTATATACAAAGCTATCTGGTTAAATAATAATGGAGATGAAAAAGCAATTCTTAAATGTCACAAGAATTTAAGTGAAAATTTGAATGAATTTTTAAAAGAAGTATGATAGTATATTTATTTCTATTTTTAATTTTAATTTAAATTATAACTTATTTATATTAATGAATTATTATTATTTTTTATAGTGGGAATATCATAAAGAGTGTTTAGGTTCAGATAATATTATTGATTTTTATGGATTTACAAAAGATCCAAATACTTCAAAATATATGGTAGTAATGGATTATGCAAATGAAGGTAATTTAAGAGAAAATTTAACAACAATAGTTAAAAATCATTGGAATACAAAATTACATATGTTGTACGAAATTATTTCTGGACTTAGTAATATACATGAAAAAAATCTTATTCATTGTGATTTTCATGATGGTAATATTTTAAATCATAATGATGAGTATGGTGATATTAAAATTTATATTAGTGATTTAGGATTATGCCAACCTGTAAAATCATTTTTGAAAAAGTATGATATTTATGGTGTTATACCATTTATGGCACCTGAAGTTTTAAGAGGCAAATCTTATACTCCAGCTAGTGATATATATAGTTTTTCTATGATTATGTGGGAACTTACATCCGGAGTACCACCATTTAATAATAGAGCACATGATATTCAACTTAGTTTAAGTATTTGTAAAGGTGAACGTCCTGAAATTATTGAAAATACTCCACAATGCTATGTAGATTTAATGAAAAAATGTTGGAATGAAGATCCATTAAAAAGGCTATCTACATCAGAAGTGGAAGAAGTTATTAAGAAATGGATTTTCCGTCCTTTTCGAGTCAGTAAAGAAGTAAAAAGCAACATTATGGAATTTATAAATGCACCAATTGGGCGTAATAATCTAGCTACTAAATCTCATCCTAAAGCATGTTATACAAGTCGCGTACTTGATTTCACTAGTAAAAAATTGAATGAAATTCTTGAAACTGAAAATTTGGATAATTATATGATTAAAGATTTAAAGTCATTAGGTAGGTATGCAATAATACATATAAAATTTAATCTTGAAAATTATTTACATGAAATAATTTATTTAATTAATTAATTAGATATTAAAGCAGATGAAAATACTAGTGAAAACTTGAGTGAAGTTCTTGAAAGTGAAGGTTCACAAGCTAGTGTAAAAGTAAATGAAATGCTAGTAAGTGAAGATTTGAATGATTATATAATTAAACATTAGGTATGTAATATAGTAAATATAAAATTTAATTTTACAAATTAATTAATAATTATATAAAATTTATTTTATTTTATTATATTAAAACAGATGAAAATTAACCAATTATTCGTATTTTAAAATGATTTATAGTCTTTTTTAAGTGGATATTTGATATCATGCATTCAACAAAAATTTGTTCTTTATTTTATATTTTATCCTTTTAGATTTATTTAAACACTAAGACTAGAGTAGTAAAATTTTTTTAAAGTTTCTTAGTTTGTAATTTAAATAATTCCTTTATTTATATTTTATACAAATATATGTATTCTCTTCTTAGAATTATTTAAACACTAGGGCTATAGTAGTAAATATTTTACAAATTTCTTAGTTTGTAATTTAAATAAATCTTTTTTTATAACTTTTCCAATTAGTATTAAAATATAAATTATCAAATAATAATAATATATAAAACCAGTTTCCATTGCATAAAATTAAAATTAAATAATGTAAAATTTTTTATATTTATTTCAATAGCATAAAGGAACAACATCAAGAAAATCTGCTGGATTACATAAAATTTCAGTTATTTTTCTCAATAAACCCAAACCTGCTAATATTATGATGTACAGTACAAGTTTATTTACACATGTTAAAATGAATAAATATATATTAGTTTATTGCTTAATATAATCACATTGCAAACTTAGCAGAAAGTAATGAAAATTCTTTACATTTAACTATACCAATTATGTTTATCCCTTTCAATAATAAAGACATAGATAAAAGCTAGGGAAAGTTTTTAGTATTAAAGTAAAGGTCCAATACAAACTTTGCAAAAACCTCGCATTTTTTAGTTAGCATTATAATATGCTAAATTTGGCAAAAATTAGCCATATTATGGGCTATTGAAGGTATAGTAAATAAATGTTTCATAAAAAATTGAAAATATAGGCCTATACTAGGTCGTACCAAAGGACTACAATTGGCTGATGATAGTTTTTTGATTATCCGGGCAGATTGGTACTATTCGCTAAAAAAATTATATTGCTTTTATAATGCCATCACAATGCTATTACAGGAAAAAATAATAAATTAAATCGTATTTAGCAAAAATTAATGCTAATAATAGACTAATAAAGCCTCTTTTTATTATTTTTTTTAGTGTATTAATAAATAGAATTTCTTTTCATTTTAGTACAGTAAATCTGCAAATCAATTTTTTTAAGTCAATATTTAAGCGCACTACATGCATTCGTTTAAAATTTAATTTTATAAACACTTGCTATAATTATTTGCACTATCAGCTAATTTAACATGAAAATATTTAAATCTACGTCAATTTGATAAATATTTAATTCATTTACACAATTACGTTAACTTGCTGATGAAATGAATAATTGAAAGGTAAACTTGATTAAGATTTTTAATTTTTAATAAAACACAGTATAAGAATTAGCCGACGGTTGATAAGAAATTTTGAATAAATGTGAAAATAATTCTTTATCATATGTATTAAAGGTTGGAAAATGGTTTACATTTTCATCCATTGTTATAAATTGAAATCAATTGAAGTTTGATCCATATCGATATTATTGATCCTTAATTAGCAATATGATTATTATCCAATTTTTACATTTATTAGAACCTGTTTCAAATTCTTATATTCAGTTTAAATTTTTCTTGTCCAATGGTACCTTATCCCCCGGAGGGGACATCATGGTGGATTTATGAAATACCCCAAAATTTGTCCATCATATTAAATTAAATAAACATTTAACAGTAATTATTTAGTCAAGTCAATTTTAATTCCCAAGGGCGCAGCAGGCAATTTTATAAATATAATATAATAATAAATTAATAATAGTTTATAAATAAATCTTTTAATTTAATTAGTCTAAATTAGTCTAAATCAGTTTAAATCAGTTTAAATCAGCTTAACAATACAAAACATTTCTTACTTGTAATTAAACTTTTTTTATTCTTTGAATTTTTTTTTATAATGCTAAAAGTTAATATGTCTAGTAGACATCATCCTTTTTAATCAAAAATCCTATTAATATCCTCAAATTTTAAATAAGAGCACTTAAAAAAATATACACTATGATCTAAATATCTAAAGATAACTATCAAATGATTATAATTAACAAGACAATCAAAAAATGAAAATAATACTTGGGACGAAAAAATTATCAAGATGATTATGATTTTGAGCAAGCAAACAATGATTTTTTTGAGCAAGAAAATAATGATTTAAATGATGAAAATGGTGATTTTGAAGATCTTATTCAAAAGTAATGAATTATGTTTTAATTTATAAAACTCAAGAACTACCATGAAACATTACCATCATCAATGGATTGGAAACATGAAGTCATAAAATACCAGTCAACATTAACAAATCTCCTACTACCAAAGAAATAACTTAAGAATATCTTAAAAGAATATTGCAAAATCCTATTACTGATATTTGGAGTCAGGAATTTACGATAAATGTGTGAAGAATTTGGCAAGGGGTGGCCAGTACCAAAATCACGTGATCCACGTTTGAATTATTTAACGAGCATTGTTTTTTGCTATATACCTATATATCAATGTATAACTGATAATAATTGATAATGGATTATCTGACAGATTGATCTAGATTTATCCATGATGGATGATGTATCCAGAAAATTATCCGCTATCTGGCTTTGGATTAAATGAGATCGCATCTCTACGTAAATGTCAATCATGTTATACAAAGAGATTTAACAAATATTTTCTTTTGATACTATTTTTAAGAATTAGGGTCATGATCTCCGGTCCTTTGGATCCATATTTTCATGATCAACATCATAATGATTTTGAGTTTTAAATAAATGGTAAATAATTTTTAGCAAAAAAATCACAATAATATTATTTAATTTAAGTGTTCTGATATATACTTACAATCCAAATGGCGTATTAAAGCTGCAAATGACCTCTTAGGTGATGTTATGCAAGTTTATTCTTCATATTGTTCAATGGAATAAGCTTTATTATCAACTCACATCCACTTTTATAATTCTGCATCTTACACTTTTCAAGAAGAAAATGATGATTATCAAAAAATTTACATTTACGTTAGTGATGTGGTTGGAATTGCTTTAGTAAAAGTTGAAAGCTTTGCAGCGTTAGAGCAATACTCAAACTCCATGGAAATGCTGGAAAGATTGTAAATTTACACATTACCTGTTTGAAGATGTTTCAAGGTGAGATGAATTACTTTCATGTCCAATATACCAATTACAAAAAGATACTAATGATTCTTGGTATCGAATTATCATATATCTATAGACTAGTAGATCATCATAAAACTTCAAATTTTGAATATGTCCGTAATAATTTTTTATTTTTGGCAATATAATAATAATTACAGATGAAATATAGCAGTATAGTAGTAGTTTGTATTAATATTTTATTAATATTTTAGTGGAAATAAATTTAATGTTAAATTAGTTATATTGTTATTAAAAAATACTTTTATATGTCTTTTATTGTTATTAAAAATGTCTTTTATTGTGATTATAAATGTTGTATACTAGCCTAATATTATTATTACAAAAAGCCTGAAATTAGACTATTCCGTTCCTAAAATATTTATTTACAATTTTCTTACTAGCACTATTAACGAGCTTGATGATAGGCCTGATTTATTACTAATACTAGCACATGAAATACTTTTATTAGCCTTATATTAAATATGTGGTTTTTTGTAAAGAATACAAATCCGTTAGAGTAAATATATTATTAAGTGAAAATTTAAACTATTCTTTCGGCATTGTGTTAACAAACATTGGATTAGATGGTATAGAGGCGATACGGTTAAAGAGAGGAAGGATCGTGATCGTTGGCGATTAACTAGAGATTTAACCGCTGAGGAGATGGAAGAATGCAAAAACAACGAGTACGAGTTTGTTAAAAAGATGAATTATGACTTGTCAATCAGTAAATTTTCTAAGATTCTTAAAGTATCAAAAAATTGGAAAATTATAGCATATCTTAAGCCCATGGAACAAGCGGTGGAAAGATTGACAACAATATAGAAAAGATTGGGAAGGTTAGAAATTTGAAGGAAATATATAGAGAAGAGGAGAAACAAGAGAAGAAAGTGGGCTTACAAAAGTAGATAAAGAGAAAATGAAAGAGAAATTAAAAACGAACAACGAAGAGAAGTTGAATGAACATTTGTTGGAAACGCCACTTCAAAGAGTTTTTTCTGGATTGGATGGCATTAGTAAGTATCAAAACACAAAAAGTATCAATAAAGGAAGTTGATCAAGATAATAAGGTAACGAGCAAGAAATTATAAAAAGATAACATTACAACAGAAGAGGTGGTGAATATTATTAACGATCAAAGAGATGGGAAGAAAAAAGAGAAAATTACTTATCAACGTTACATACTCTCAGCAATTCTATCAGAAAGAAAGAATCTACGTCAAAATCATTAAGATAGATTCTTAAAATTAGAAGGTGTTACCGAAAATTGAGGAATTGAAGAATATATTAAAGAGTGCGGGGAAGAAATGGAATGGAAGCGATAGAAGAGGAAGCATGTAAAGAATTTGAGGATGATCGTAGTTCAATACCGTCTTCGGAGACTTCGGAGTGGTTGGGCAAAGTTGAAAGAATCATTAAAACGGTGGAATCACATGATGTGATACAAAAATTTACGATGTTAAATAATGATTTCACAAAGAGTTAAGGAGGAGAACAGGGGAATAGATGAAAAAATATAAATGAAAAGAGGGCGACTAAGAGTCCAAAAGAAAGGAAGTATCAGAAAAGATGGAGATGGAACAAGAATAGAGTCCAAATTGAAGTCACGTGATTTTACGCTATAAAAGATTTCCAACAAAAATGTAAAAAAGATTAATAAGGTTTATGTTTTTATTTTTATTTTGGACTTTTGCGGGATTAGAAAGCAGGGGTCGAGTTTAGTTTTGGGAAATGTTTGTTATCTAACACGCTATTACAGGTAGTGTATACATAATAACACCATCTAGAATTAGGCTCTTTTTTGGATTCGCAGCTAAATTTTCTTGAGTAATTAATTAGCAGGTTTGCTAATTTTTTGAATGTAGCATAAAGTATGTAGCTTACATTATCAAATTAAATTAGTGAGTTTGGTTTTTTGTTTTTTCTTCTTTTTGTTTCTTTTAGTTTATGAAATTTTGTTTGTTTTATATTTAGATAGATACTTTATTAAACTTTATTGATTACATGGCGTGATTCTTTGCGTGTACATGATGGTTACATGTTAACGTGTAACTAATAAAGTTT